TTCAGACGTGTGCTCTTCCGATCTCCCCAAAACCCCAAAACCCCAAAACCCCTGAAGCGAAATCATGAAATTTATGAATTTATTGTTTAGTGAGTAAATATATACTTTCTTATTAGGTTTAAGATAAACTTGTAATTGATACATAATATGTGTGTTGATATGAAAGAGTTAATTCCTGTTGATTTTCTTCAACTGCTCTTGATAGAACTAGTTTCTCAAAATATATTACACTTCAATGATCCTCTTGGTTGAATGCAATGGCCTCTTTAGTTAGACTCACGAATTTTCTTAGCCATAGAGACTTTCTTCTGAAGCATTCTATGTGATCGAAATAGACTTCCATTTACATTGCTATTAAGGGTAGAATCAGATTCCAAATCGATATCCCTTCTCATTTCATTATTCATAATCATCTACGTGATTGTTGTGAATACCTAATCTATTTTGTTTCCTGTCTTCGCTGAGCACTGAATGAATCTTATCCTTAGCCTATTCTTGTATCTGGCTATAGTCTAGTTTATGATCTTATATATCGGAGCTACATCAATCTATGTTTCATCGTCAAATTTGTTACCACATATTAGCATGGGAAGTTTACCCTTAATTTCATGCTAAATTCGTAAAAGGTTCTCTATGTACAGGTCGATGACCTTCAACGTTTCAATATTGGTAGCATCATAAACAAATATATACCCATCCTTCTGACATAAAGAGTGATCTCTAACACCTTAAAACTCTTCAAGACCAGCTGTGTCCACTATATTTAACTTGTATAACTAGTTGTCAATTTGATCCAGTGAATTATTAAACTAGCTTGTGGTGTTAGAATTCCTCAAGACTTGAGAAGTTGAAACATTGCTATTTAGACGAACTAGGGTGCTATAGAAGTCCTCAATAGTGCTGGAGTAGTCGTTAGAAAATTTGGAGAATAGGTTGCGCGTGATAATTTGAGTCTTTCCAACTCCACTTTCTCCTAGGATAGCTACATTGAACTTTTGGTACTTGTAAATAGTCGAGGCAGTCTCGATATCTCTCCTCTCTGAGAGATCGTTGAAATTATTGCTATTGCAGCACTATTTCTGAAGGTCCTTTTAGCACAGCAAGTCGTCGATCATAGAGGAATTCATTGATAAAGCCTCTGGCTCTTGAGTCTCTGTAACAATAATTGTTTCATCCTATATTGATAAGAAATGAGCAGGAATTTTAAGGAATCAAAGAATTAAATAATACATTTGAAAAATATATGGTTTCTTCATTCTATAACTCAGTTAAATCATGGATAAGCTGTCCACTTGATTCTTTGAATACTTTGCACACTTATATATCAAATTATTGTGATATATAGTCCTTCAAATCACTCAAAGATTTCTTGGAGGTGTTGAATTTAATCATAATGGGTTCCTCTTCTCCATAAGGCTTTTATACTAGATACAGCTTAATCATCTTTGTTATTATTATTAAAGATTATGCGAATATAAGTAACATTTTATCATAAAATATTGAATGTATAATTTGTATAAATCCTTGTAATAAGTATTAATTCAAGCACGGGGTTTTGGGGTTTTGGGGTTTTGGGG